AGTAGTTATATTCGATATGTTAAAAATATATGTGTAGGAAAAAGGTAAAAGAGTGGTGAAAATATGCCCACCACATATGAAATAGGTAGTTACAAAATAGTCATGGGAATGTACAGTACAGCATAGCGAATATAGTCAATAACATTGTAATAACTACATATGCTGTCAGATGGGTACTAGACCTATCAGGTGACCACTTCGTAAAATATGTAAATGTTGTACACCTGAAACTAATATAATATTGTTTATTAACTGTAATTGAAAAATAAAGTTAATAAATAAATTAATAAATAAATAATTACATAAATAAATATAAATAAGAGTTAGTTCTATTGAATGGACACAATTGCCACTAGATCCTTTGTTAATGTCTTTAGGGTAAACTCTGGGTAATGATAGCTGCATAAATCTGAGCAATTAATTGAAGAAGTTGTGGAGTTACCTTAAAGCCTTGATATAAAATTTCCAATGCAGTAAGTACTTTGTATGTCAAGCTTTTCCCAGTTTCACAACTTTCTCTTCAACTGTCAAATCCCTGTGTTGATGAATAATAGTACCACAGGCAACAGAAGAAACTCAAACATTTTGAACATGGAAATTAAGAGATCTGGGTTAATCTGCAAAATTATAAAATCTGTTAAGTCTTTCCCTGGAGCCTCTAGCCTACCCTTTCTGCACCTTCCTCCCTTTCATCTGTACTTTACAAGGAAAATAAAAACACAGTAGTCATTTGTATGCTTCTTGGTGTTAACACCACACACGTCAACTCTCCGAAAGCTATCGATAATTTACTTAATTATAGTAGCAGAATGAAAGTTTTTGTCCACCACTGGGAGGAAGAGTAGAGAATGCTACACTACTAAATTAGACCTTAGCCTCTAGCTATTCTTACGGAAACTCTGACTTCTGTTCCATTGCATTCCAAGGTAGCAGATGAAACAGTAGAAAAGTTGCAGTATTTTTTCTATAGTCTTCTCTTTCTTGTTTCTTGTAAATATGAATATCTCCCTCACCCCCAGAAATTTGAATCTCCAGAGATTTTATGTAACTCTCACAAAGCAGCCATCCTCCCATCTAATGAAATGTTAACAGACCATTCTGGTCATTGTTCATAAATATTTGTTCTCACGTAGGGGATCTTAGATTTTGAAATCTCCTCTAACTCTCTGTGATGCAATGGAGAAAGTGCTTTGGAGATTTGAGACTACCACAACCCTACTGAATATTTCCAAAGGGAATTATTTGAAAGTCAACTGAATTAGGCAAGGGAAAATATCAGAACTTTGTAAGGAATAACTTTTTAAATGTGTCACGTAGTGCCACACCAGGTTAATTCTGAATTCTAATACCGAAATCCTTTCAGTGAATGATAATAGAACCCTATTTGGAAGCATATTTATTGGGTCAAAAGTAAATAGAAGGTTAAGAAAAAGTCGACTTATATCTTATAATAAAATTCAAAAGGAGAAAATTATGTAGCTAAATGAGAGAAAAAAATATATATACATATCAAGAAAGCAAGCAGGGCCAGGATGAGGGTGAGGCAAGTGAGGTACTTGTCTCAGCTACAAAATTTACCAGACTACTAAAAACCTTAATAATCAAGATAAATAATATTTTAATGCAAATGTTCTCTCAGTTTTTATGAATATTAAAATGCTTGTTACATCTTTTTTTTTCTGAAGTTTATTTTCATTGGATATAGATTCCAGTTAGATTGTTTTTTTCTTTAAGAACTTAAAAATGCAGTTTAACTAACATGGTTTCCACTATTTCTGATTTTAAAAAATCAACCATCATTCTTATTGTCATTCCTCTGAGCTGTCTTTTTTCTTCTGGTCGCTTGTAAGATTTTTTTAAAATTATTTTTATTCGGTTAGCACCTATGGTCTTACTTGTATTTATATTGCTTGGAGTTTTCTGAATTTCCTGGATATCTTGGTTAATGTTTTTATGAAATTTGGGAAATTCTTGGCAGTTTTATCTTTATTTTCTTGGCCTCATTTTCTTTATCCTCTTCTTCTGGAATCTCAATTACATGTATATTTAGCTATTTGATATTGCCCCAAAGTATATTAACACTATTCATGTTTTTTAATCTTTTCTCTCTTTCACTTTGAGTTATTTTTAATAACCTATCGTCACAATCATTATTTTTTCTACAGTGCTCAAAATGCTGTTCAGCTTATATAACAAACTTCTTTTGATGTCAAATATTATTCCTTTTAGTTCTAGCATATGCATTTATATTTAAGGTTTGCACTTCTCTCCTGAAATCTTTGTCTCCTTATCCATTTATCATATTAAATATATTTATAATCACTTTCTAAAGTCCTCATCTGATAATTCCATCATATGGTTCATCTGACAGTCTTTGTCTATCAATATTTTTCCATTAATTATTAAATTCTCTTCTCTGTTCTATTTTCTTGGCATCACTTTTAATCTTTAAAAATTATATTCTAATACTCTATGAAAAATTTAGTGGAGGATGAATAATTATATTTAATTTTATTTTGCTTAGTTTTTCAGAGAGTTAAATCCTCTTCCTCTGTCCAGTAATTAAAATGAGAACCTAACCATTCAAATTTCTTTAAAGGTCTACTTGGGCTTAGAATCATCTTTAATTATATTGAATTAGCTCAGATTAGCTTTACCTCCAACATCTGTCAACTGGAAGCAAGGAACTGCTGTGTTTGATCTTGTCAGTATTTTCAACTGGGAGGGATTTGAGCCACAATTTAGATAGTTTTGTTTCCCTCAGGGTTTGACTTTGTAGACATCAACATCCAAGCACCACAGTAATGTCTGAGAATGTGTAAATTCCTTCTGATTTTCATTTCTTACCTCACTGCTCCTTTTTCTGACCAAATTACTTATGTAAATGTCAATGAGGAGTGGGGATGAAATTTATAAAAGTGACCTTCATTTTTGTGTTTGGAGCTTTTTTTAGACTCTAATCTGTCTACATATATCATTAAAAGCTCAGTTCATTTTTTCTCATACCTACAAAATATCTCAATCTATGGCAGGTCCCTCCTCCAACTGCCTATACCCAGACTAGATATTTACCCACAGATAGGGAAGCTGCTTTAGATCTCTGCTCATCTGTTCAGGCCTTGTCTCTCTCTGAATCTCAATATGATAAGCCTTCCTTACTTTATTTACTCTTTTATAGCCTCACAGAAAAGTATAATTTTTATTTTGTACTTTCCTTATTGTTGATAACAAATGAGCAACATTCTTCTACAAACTAAACAGAATAAGTAGTTTTTATTCTCATGGCTAGTTTTTGAGAATAAAATTATTTTTATGTTTATAAGCCTTTCCATTTTTTCCTTTGCTAGTTGACTATTAGTTTCAATTGCTGATATTTCCTCCTGAGTATGTATCTATTTCATATTCATTTATTAAAATTCCTTATGTTAAGTGAATTAACTTTTTGTCATTTATATTAATTTCCTAAGTTAACAGCTGTTTTATTTTAATTTTTATGCATGGATCCTCTCTTGTACAATCCTGTGGAAGGAAAGAAAATTTCAATCCAATTCCCATGCAAACTCTGTAATTGTGCAGAAAATAATCTGCAATTCTCTATGTGGTGGGCATATTTTCACCACTCTTTTACCCTTTTCCTACACATATATTTTTAACACGTCAAATATAACTATTTCCCCATTCATTTTCTATTTTTGTGTAAAACTTCACTGATTTTTCTCACCTCCAAAACTGTAATTCTATATTTTATCACTACTTTTTCCATCATTTTGTTTTCCAAAGAAACTATGAACATATAAACGCATTCTTCTAGGATCTTTGCATCTAGGGTTCATATCAAATATGCTCATTTAAAACTTAAATTTAGAAAAAAATTTATCAATAAAAGAAGCAATAACATAAAAGGCATATCATTGTCCTGATCCCAGATCATGGCTAATTAATATATTCCTTTGGTCAGGAGCTGGCAAAGTGGCTTCTTGTTTTCCCAGTTTCCTGATTGGTGCAGGGACAGATCACTGGGCAAGTTAATTTTATTGACAATTGTGTGTTTTTTGACAATTATGTCTGGATGCCCAGCATAGAGAATTGTTTTCTACCCCTTAAAGATTTGTAGGTACCTATTTCCATCATTAAACCCCATTATATTAAAAATAACTAGGGTGATTTATGTAATCTCCAACAGAATTTGTAGGACCGATTAATTATCGCAATCATAATCAGAGTGAAATCAATTGAGGACAAATTTTAACATCCAGAGGGGATTTGTAAAAACCTGTTAGTAATAATCATGAAGCTGTGAAAAAAAGTAAATGAAATAATTTCACGACATTTTTTCACAAAATGAATTATTTCCTTTTCTTATCCCTCTATCAAATATTGGGGGAGATATCTATATATCTATATATCTATATCTATATATAGAGAGAGCGAGGGAGAGACAGATATAGATATCTATATATCTATATCTATATATAGAGAGAGCGAGGGAGAGACAGAGACAGAAAAGAGAGAGACAGAGAGAGACAAAGAGAGACAGAGATAGAGAGAAAGAGACTTTTCAAAAATGTCTGCAGCATATCATTTGGATCTTCATAATGTTTTGCAGCTTATTGATCTCTGCTCAGAATCTTGATAATTATGCTCTAAACCATAGAAGAAAAGTTGTGAATGAATGACTCTCTTGCCTAAAATGTTAAAATGAACTCTTACTGCAATTAGAATAGAATAAAACTCCTTATCTCAGCCTAAAATACTTTAGTGATTTTACCCTTAAGGTCAGATGAAATTTAACACCTAAATCTTTTATACTTACTCATTAAACATCAATCACTCTGGTGTTTCTTTTACATTCTTTAAACATACCAAGTTTATTCTCTCATTATGCATAACTCTCCCTCATTGTTAGCAATAACACCTGAAAAATGAGAGGCACTCAATAAAATAAATGAATGAATGATTTGTACCCAAATTCTCCCTTCTTGACTTATTGTAAAATTTATTCAGCAGACTACATGCCGACTCAATAACCTCCTCATGGAAGATTTTACTTCTTGGTTGCGAAGGGTATAAATCACAGGATTCAACAAAGGAAAGATCACTGTGTGGAAAAAGGAAACCACCTTGTCAGCTGGGAAGGCCCTGAAGGGTCGTGTGTATATGAAGATGGCAGGACCAAACATGAGAAGTATAATGATGACATGAGTGGTGCATGTGGACATGGCCTTGTTCTTCCCTTCAGAAGCAGACCCGCGTACGTGGCAGAGGATGACCGCATAGGACGACAAAAGCCCCAGGAAGCACAGGAGGGTCATCAGACCACTGTTGAAGACCATCAGAAGCTCCACCACAAAGGTGTCTGTACAAGCCAGCTTGATGACCTGTGGCACATCACAGAAGAAGTTATCCAGTTGGTTTGGGCCACAGAAGGGCAAGCGGAGGATGAGGGCCACCTGGATAATGGAGGGGACAAAGCCCCCAAGCCACAAAACTAACAGCA